GTGTGTGTTTGTGAGAGAGCCTGTCAGAGTGTATGTGTTTGTGAGAAAGCCTGTCAGTGTGTGTGTGTGTGTGTGTGTGTGTGTGAGCCTGTCAGAGTGTGTGTGTTTATGAGAGAGTCTGTCAGTGTGTGTGTTTGTGTGTGTGAGCCTGTCAGAGTGTCTGTGTGAGTACCTGTCTGAGTTTGTGTGTGCGAGTCTGTCAGAGTGTGTGCGTGCAAGTCTGTTGTCAGCGTATGAGTGTATGTGAGCCTGTCAAGAGTGTGTGTGAGCCTGTGAGTGTGTGTGTGTGAGCATGTCAGTGTGTGTGTGTGTGCCTGTCAGAGTGTGTGTGTGAGCCTGTGAGTGTGTGTGTGTGTGTGTAAGCCTGTCAGAGTGTGTGTGTGTGGCCTAATAGTACTTCCGCATATATTGAGTAAAACAATTACCCAATTTAAGTAACAACTAGACATTTTAAAAGATAGGTATGTCATAGCAAATGTTTGTTCTCCATCTTGGCTGAGGGCAAATGCCAGATGAAACATCAGACTTAAATACTTTAATACACTTAAGCATTTCGGTCCAATCAGTATTGGTACATTAATAATGATAAATAATACTCAAAGAGTTCTAATTAACTCTAATTACGTTGCCCAATACATGCAGAAGTACTTTTATGACAGTTGGCTCTGATGAATTGCAGCTAAAGCACTAAACGCTTGTCTGTGCTGTCTGTGCTGCTGTGTTCCCACGGTAAGATGTCACACCATTTTAGTATAGTTGAATTAATTATGTTAATCCTGCTGGGTCCCCAACTCATACTCAGCATCCAGTCTTCTCTATGGAATAAAGCACAGTCTTGAGAGTCCTCAGCTGATGATCTCAGCCAATGAGTACAGTCCTGCATAGCCATACTTTGCTCTACAGATTGTCCTGCTGGCGAAGACTAAATACAGGTGTCTGGCAGAACCCCAAAAAGTGGTTAAACTGCACTAAAACAATTTGACATCTTAACACAGTACGACGGCAGGGTACTCCTTGCACCATAAACACTATGGCACTTCCACCCTCACTAGTGAACAAGTGTCTTGGTTAGAGCAGTTTTGCTTCTAGCGAAGATAGATAGATAAGAGTGCAATATAAGAACTAAATATAAAAATAAGAAAAATTGTATTTACAAAAAGCGAATACATTTTAATTGAATGCCTATAAACTATATGGTATGAACCATACTGGAAAAATTTAGTTCTTTTATAGTCCTGTACAGCATGGATGGTAACATCAACTGTGCAGCTGCTCCAATAATAAATGGTGAATAATGTACAATTCCCCTTTCTGCAGCCCAAATTTACATAAACACTATAGTCGCCAAAACAACTTTATCTTAAAGGACCACTATAGTGCCAGGAAAACATACTCGTTTTCCTGGCACTTTAGTGCCCTGAGTGTGCCCCCACCCTCAGGGTCCCCCTCCCACCCTGCTCTGGGGAGAGGAAAGGGGTTAAAACTTACCTTTATTCCAGCGCCAGGCGGGGAGTTCTCCTCCTCCGATCCTCCTCCTCTCCTCCCTTTCGGCTGAATGCGCAAGCTCGGCAAGAGCTGCGCGCGCATTCAGCCGGTCTCATAGGAAAGCATTTACAATGCTTTCCTATGGACGCTTGCGTGCTCTCACTGTGATTTTCACAGTGAGAATCACGCAAGCGCCTCTAGTGGCTGTCAATGAGACAGCCACTAGAGGATTTGAGGGCTGGATTACACCAATTTATAAACATAGCAGTTTCTCTGAAACTAGTATGTTTATAAAAAAAAATGGGTTAACCCTAGCTGGATCTGGCACCCAGACCACTTCATTAAGCTGAAGTGGTCTGGGTGCCTAGAGTGGTCCTTTAATAAAGCAGTTTTGTATATAGATCATGCCCCTGCAGTCTCACTGCTCAATTCTCTGCCATATGGAGTTAAATTGCTTTGTTTATGCAACCCTAGTCACACCTCCCTTCATGTGACTTACACAGCCTTCCTAAACACTTCCTGTAAAGAGTCAGCTAATGTTTACACCTTTATTACAAATTCTGTTTAATTTAAAATTCCTTATCTCCTGCTCTGTTAATTGCTTGCTAGACCTTACAGGAGCCTACTGTATGTGATTAAAGTTAAATTTACAAAGCAGGAGATAAAAAACTTTTAACCCCTTAAGGACACATGACATGTGTGACATGTCATGATTCCCTTTTATTCCAGAAGTTTGGTCCTTAAGGGGTTAAAGTAAGTTACATCTGATTGAAAGTAAAAACCATTTTGTTTTCCTGCAGGCTGTGTGTCTCACAGCCAAGGGAGGTGTGGCTAGGGCCGCAGAGACAGAAACAACAGTAATTTGACTTCTAAATGGCAGATAATTGTGCAGTGAAACTTCAGAGGTATGATCTATACACCAAAACTGCTTCATTAAGCTAAAGTTGTTTTGGTGCCTATAGTGTGCCATTACGATTAATGGGTATTACAGCTACTGACATTTTAATATAGCTGCAATGCTACATAATGTTCTTGGGACATTTATTGACTACTTGACCTTATGAAATCTCCAGATTTCCTTGATGCACTTTTTCCAAGGTACATTGCTTGCCTTTATGTATGCTTTATATATGTACATTGCAAACTATTACGGCTAACAAAGTGTGGAAATGTAATAAAGCTTTTTAAAGTTCCATGAATTCAAATAAGTAGGCCAGAGATCAATACCAATGTACCCCAAAGCAAAAATCAACATACACTCACTACTCAGAGAAAATCAATTGCTAAAAATGTAACACTATTTACATTTAAATCCTGCTTTAAATTAAATCTGTTATTGATTTATTTTTTTTATGAGTCTACAAACCGTATGGCGGTGTCATGTACTAAACAGTAATAGTAACTCGGAGAAAGGTTTATAAATAAAACTATAAACAGATTGTGGCTTCATAGGGTGCCCCGAGACAGAATTATTACTCTTATGTATTCTAAAGTGATTTAAATTAATTTGAGGCTTTAAACCGACTGTTGAATTGCTAGTATAAACAGCTGAAGTCATTGATAGAAATATAGTAACTCAATTAAAAGTATGTGTAAGGCCTCCCAAGTGCCATCATTTAAATAACAGAACTGGCAGTAGGCTATATGTCATCTTCCTGGTGGACTCTTAAATGGTTAGTATTATATTGGTTGTATGGATCATCTCATTTTTCAAAACTTTACAAATATGCAACTGGTGAACGATACCTACACTCATTTAGGCATGCAGCTCTGCTGTCCCACTGATACTGATGCCCTGATTCCTGCCTGATAGATCAATTAAATGCCCTCTTGGATGCAGGCATTTTGGGACAGTGTGTAGATTACTCTTCAGTTAGTTGGGTTGACCCTTCAGTTAGCCCCTGCTGCCAGTCTGACATAAAGTGTCCTTCTCAGTGGGGAGAATTTGCCCAAGTTTTCCAAGAGAAAAAGTCAATGTCCAAGGGGCTTTTATATCAGCTCTCATAATCTGAGCCTTGCTTGTAATAGGGTACTCTACCAATAAAGATTCCATAATCTGCTCGGTTGCTTATTGGGACAGATGGTTAAATTAAGATTGTTTCGTTAAATTCCTGTCAAGACCAGTGGTGTATTTTGGATTGGTGCTGCCCTAGGCATGACAGAACTCGGGCACCGCCTCTTCCTGCCAAGACCACACTTCTTCCTGTTAACTAACACATATTTTGACTGACAGACACACACTGACACACACACTCACGGATCAGCACACACTCTCAGATACACTGACTTACGCACACACACACTCACCAATTTGGCACAATCTGACAGACACATACAATCATTCAGACACACACTGACAGATGCATACACACACTGACAGACACACACAAGCACTGACAGATGCTCACACGCACTGACAGATGCGAAAACTCACTGACAGACACGCACAATCACTGAACGACACACACACTCACTCACAGATACTCACTGACAGACATACACACACACATTCAGTGACAGACACACACACTAACACAATGACGGACACACACAATCACTGACTGACACACTGACAGATAAACAGACACACACTCACTCATTGACAAACACACACATACTTACTGACAGACACACACACTCACTCACATTCACTGACACACACACATACATTCACTGACAAACACACACACACATTCACTGGCAAACATACGCACACATTTTCCCCAACACTCACAATTATTATTTTTTTATATTTAAATCCACCCAGACTCCCTACTTTTGGGAGAACTGGGTGGATTATTTACCTGGGGTCCAGTGGAGCATGGAAGCTGGCAGGCTTGTGGCCAAAGTTATTGGTGAGCTCCCTTGCGTGCCGCTAAGTGATGCTGAGGGCCGGACTGACGTCATATTCCAGCTCCTGGCATCACTGCGGGTTGCGCGAGGGAGCTGAGCAGGAAGAGCTCAGGGGAAAGTGCATTGGCCTGGGCATTTGGGATGGCTTTTTTGCCGCCCCTGGAAAGTGCCGCCCAAGGCAAATGCCTTGTTGGCTTCATGGTATATACAGCCCTAGTCAAGCCTAGTATAAGCATGCAAACCTATGGGGGAGGCCAAGCAACGAGACAAAGGACTGTTTATATCTGTCCTTGAGAGTAGCTGAGCTTATCAAAACAGAAAGGTGGGACAGTCTGCAAACAGACAAAGAGTAAAGGAGAAATAGCTAAGGCTCACAAATGACAAAAGAGCACAAAATGAGAGTCAAGCTGAGGTTGAGGATTGCAGAGATAAGAGTACTCAAGACACAGAGCCTAGTCTTTGTTCAATTAGCTATGTAAAAGCCACAACAGGCCATAGAACTGACTGAATAGTATATGTGGAACTGCACTCACTCCCAGAAAAAAAAATCGGAGCCAGGGTGCTTGCTGAGCCAGAATCAAACACCATATTTCCAAACATTAGTAAAGTAATAGAGGTCCAGGCACTCCTTGGTTCAAGACAGGCACTTTATTAGGAACCACAAAAGCAACGTTTCGACCCCAAAAGGTCTTTGTCAAGCTGATACATACATAGGTGTATGTATCATGTATGTATCAGCTTGACAAAGACCTTTTGGGGTCGAAAGGTTGCTGTTGTGGTTCCTAATAAAGTGTCTGTCTTGAACCAAGGAGTGCCTGGACCTCTATTACTTTACTAATAGAACTGATTGAAGTCTGAAATATATTGAACCCCAAGCGAGATGTTATAGGCCAGCGTCTGGAATGCAACACCAAAATGAGCGCTAATAATGTTTCCAGATTGTGCCTTGAATCCACAATATGACGCAGCCTATTCTGGGAATGTCACTCTAAACAGTGCCCATAGGAGAACACACAGCGGGCCCCATGACAATACCTTGTCTATGATTAAGTCCATAGTCAGTACTATATTAGACTACTTTATTAACATTGCAAACTTTTGCTTGTATGTGGGTTATGTCCAATGTCTCGCAGTGTGGTTGGGATGCTGTACCCCCGTGGCACCTCATGATGTTATGCACCTGAATATTTCCAGCATATGTTCCAATTGAGAAAGGTGGGAGATGAAACACCTAGCCTCAGCCTCATTATCCCTTCTAGACCACTAGGGTTATTGTCTCTCTACTTCCAATCGTATGGAAGGATTTTAAAACTTTGGAAAGGGTGGGAGGGCTCACCACCTGACTAATTAAAATCCTGAACACTGAAAAAAGATTGAGAATACAGGAAGATGTGGTGCATGTTTCCTTGAAAGTTCTATTTCATTTTATTTGTCTAATAAAGAGAGTTAAAACACTGATTTTTATTTATGATTTAGTAGACCATTATTTCGATTTATATTGTTTCACTGTGCCAGCTTCATTTGTTTCTTATCTGATTTATAGAGTTGGCTGAATCAAGGAGACATAAAATGAGTATTGTTACAACCCACGTAAACACATACTTTATATGGATCCCAAGACTCTTTCTATCTCTAGTGATGCAAAAGGAAAATCAATGTATCACTTTCCAATGATCAAATAAAATGGATTATTCTCATCCACCCTGTTCTCTAGCTCACAAATACATTAGATGGATTTATTCCTGGCAAGTAATATCAAAGTGTGCTCCAAAAAAAGTCCATCAAAGGAGTGCATTTGACTTTAAGATGTGCGCATGGAAATTGTAGCATCTACCTTGTTTACATCAAGCCCTAAGTGCCGTCTGAGTGCTTCCTGTAACTCATTTATAAAATCAAAGACCTGGCAGGAATATATCTTTTCATCTATAACATTTTTGTAAAAGAAATATTAATGGAGTCCATCGATGGATAACCTTGGCACTGCAGAAGTTTATGAACTACATTTTCCATAAGCTTTAGCTGACCTTTTTAGGGATGGTTGAGTACCAAGAACTTGCAATTCTCCTGTAACACATTGTTTTTGTTTTGAGGTCAGTGCAAGGATTTTCAATGCCGTCAGAAAATTCAGTGTTCCGTTCCCTTGTGTATCTCACAGCTAATTTCTGTCTCTTTTTTTCTCAACTCTTATTCAACTCATAGTTTTTTCCTTTTTTCTATTTTTCTGTTCCTCTTTCTCCCAGTAGATGTTTTATCAATTCCATCTTGTTCATGTCTATGTTGCCCATTCTACTCAGTTTGTCTTTCAGGCTATTCTCACACAGCCTCTCACTCTTTCCCTCCCCCCTGCAAAATGTTCATCTAATCTCACCACACTTCCCCATCTTTCACCATTTTTTATTTCCATCCAGTAACATTTTCCTTTGTATCTCCATGAGTCTTGTTAATTACCACTAGCATGTGTGGTGGGATTGTGTGATGTTGGAAGATGTGGGGGAAGGCTACTTGTGCATGATGAGAGTTGTGGGTGTGTGAATGTTGTGTGTATGGGCATGGGTATGTATGTATGTGTGTGTGGTATGAAGGTTGTGTGTGGGAAGACATTCTTCATTACATATTAGGCAAAACAGCTTTACACAAATCAATCAGTTTTAGTGTATAGATCATGTCTCACTGCTCAATTCTTTAGGAGTTAAATCAGTTCAATTGCTTTGCTTCTACAGCCCTAGCCACACCTCCCTGCATGTGACTGGCACAGCCTTCTTAAACACTTCCTGTAAAGAGAGATCCCATGTTTAAACTTCCTTTATTGCAAATTCTGTTTATTTTAAGAATTTTTCATCTAGTGCTCTGTTAATAGTGTCTATACCATGCAGGAACCCCCTGTGTGTGATTAAAGTTACAATTTACAGAGCAGGAGATAAAAACTTATAAAGCAAGTTAACATCTGTTTGAAAAATAAATCATTTTCTTTCATGTAGGCGGTGCCATTCAAAACCAGGGGAGATGTGGCTAGGGCTCCATGGACAGAAACAAAATTGATATAACTCCTACACAGCAGAGAATTGAATAGTAAGACTGCAGGGGCTTGATCTATACACCCAGGGCCGGCCTTAGGGGTGTGCGGTTGCACAGGGCGCAATGCCTGCAGGGTTTGCCATGCTGCCGACATGCCCAGGTGACAGGAGTGAGGGGGTACATAGAGCACCCCTATGCTGCAGGCCCACCTGGGTGGAGAATTCATTATTCTCCACCCGGGACTATTAAAAAAAAACCTAAGGAGGCAGCGGAGGTGGAGCCTAATGCAGTACAGAGGCGGAGCTAAAAGGGCAGCGGGGTGTAGCTAAAAGTACCCGCTGCCCTTAATCTCTGCATACTAAGTCGGAAGCAGGAAGGAGCCCCTGCTTCCCCAACTACCAGATACCAGGAACTGTAGTACCTTCACCTCACTGCCAGTAACTGTGTGTGTGTCAGTGTGTGTGTGTGTGTGTGTGTGTGTGTGTGTAACTGCCTGTAATGTGTGTGACTGGATGTAATATTGTGAGTGACTTCCTGTAACAGTGTGAAACTGTCTGCCTGACTCTGTGTGTGTTTGTCACTGCCTGCAGCTGTGCGTTTGTATCTGTACCCTTGTGTTTGTCTGCCTGTAACTGTGTGTGTGACTATCTAACTGTGTGTATGTGTGTGTGACTGTCTGCTGGTAACAGTTTGTGTGTAACTGTTTAACTGTGTATATGTGTGTGTGACTGCCTGCAATGATGGGGGGTGGGGGGTGACTGTCTAACTGTGTGTATGTGTTAGTGTTTGTGACTGTCTGCCTGTAACGGTCTGTGTGTGACTGTCTAACTGTATGTATGTGTGTGTGACTGTCTGCCTGTTATGGTGTGTGTGTGACTGGCTAACTGTGTGTATGTGTGTGTGACTGTCTGTGTGTACGAGTGTGGGACTGTCTTCCTGTAACAGTCTGTGTGTGACTGCCTGCAACTGTGTATGTGTATCTGTCTACCTGTAACAGTGTGTGCGTGTGTGTGAATGCAGCTGTGTGTGTGTGTGTGTATCTTTGTGCCTGTAACTGTGTGTCTGTCTGCCTGTAACTGTGTGCATGACTGTCTAACTGTGTGTATGTGTGACTGTCTGCCTGTAACAGTGTGTGTGTGACTAACGGTGTGTGTGTGACTGTCTGCCTGTAACAGTCTGTATAAGACTGTCTGCCTCTAACTGTGTGTGTGTGTGTGTGTGTGACTGCCTGCAACTGTGTATGTGTATCTTTCTGCCTGTAACAGTGTGTGCGTTACACATACAATAATGATGATCTCGATGTTCACCATATTGCTTTTATATTGACATATTATGAAATTTTTCTGTTTGTTTATTTTTTATTTGTATTGCAATTGATATTGTGGAAACTTGAATTTGTTATTTATCTGATACATAATACTAGTACAAAGTTATTGGAACTGGTCAACTCTGATTCATTATATGCAAAAACAGATCTAAAAGTCTGATAGTGTATGCACATTGGGTCACTCTGCTCAAGGTCTTTCTATATATATATATGTGTGTGTGTGTGTGCTTCTAGTTACCCAGATCTCTCTTATGTATCTTTATTGCTGGTCCACCACAGCAGTGTCACACATACGCCAGACTCAACCAAAAAATACCAAACTTAAAGGACCACTATAGTGCCAGGAAAACATACTCGTTTTCCTGGCACTATAGTGCCCTGAGGGTGCCCCCACCCTCAGGGTCCCCCTCCCGCCCGGCTCTGGAAAGGGGAAAAGGGGTTAAACTTACCTTTTTCCAGCGCTGGGCGGAGAGCTCTCCTCCTCCGATCCTCCTCCGTCTCCTCCCCGTCGGCTGAATGCGCACGCGCGGCAAGAGCTGCGCGCGCATTCAGCCGGTCACATAGGAAAGCATTCATAATGCTTTCCTATGGACGCTGGCGTGCTCTCACTATGAAAATCACAGTGAGAAGCACGCAAGCGCCTCTAGTGGCTGTCAATGAGACAGCCACTAGAGGATTAGGGGGAAGGCTTAACCCATTCATAAACATAGCAGTTTCTCTGAAACTGCTATGTTTATGAAAAAATGGGTTAACCCTAGCTGGACCAGGCACCCAGACCACTTCATTAAGCTGAAGTGGTCTGGGTGCCTAGAGTGGTCCTTTAAGGCAAGCAATTTCACACAATAACAATAGCTAGTACTTTTGGTAAGGAACATATTTGGGTCTAGGGAGGTTAGGCCTAAACTTAGGGTAGCAGTAAATGAACAGTGGCAGGATTTAGAGTTTGTTTTGTTTTACATCACTGGAACGGGGGTACATAGCTTTGAGTGACCTAAACATCCAAAAAAACAATCATTACTCTAGGTAGACCAATGACTCCTACAATCTACTGCATATTAGCTTGATGAAGTTGCTTATGTGTGAAGAATGTGTCCTCATTTTTGTTTCATTTTACAAAATTTCAAATTTCATTTAAAATTTGCACTTTTATATAGTAACCTTGTTGCATCCATCTTGCTATCAATCAGACAACAGGTCATGTTATTTCCTGGTTTGTTTAGCTCAGTGGAGCTAATCTCAAGAGGCAGCAATTGCTCAGGGCACCTGTATTGTAAAGACTTCTTATTGAGCTGCATTGGGAAGTATCTGATTGGACAGTCACAGGAAGTCTCCTCTGGATTAGAAGGGGAGGGCTTGTAAAGGCTGCAGACATGAGATCCGCAGCATTTGCAAGCTGTGTTTAGATAGACTCTCAATGAAAAAAAACATAACTAAAT